CGGTTCGCCAAGGTCTTTCAATCTCAGGCTCGAGTACTGTGAAGACACCTTCTATATAAAGGCCGGAACGCTGCCAAAACGACTTCTCAACTCGCGCAGAAAACTTTGCTGAAAAGAATCCAGTCCTTCCGTTAAGCTGCTGAAGGCTTATAATTACAAAGAGTCCTGTTCACAACAAAAACCTGCTGCGAACTCAGCTGCAAACTCAGCAATAACACAGACCTCGGAAACTTGTCTTCAAAACAGAGATTGGGTGATCTCAGTACTAGTGTCCTGATTGTTTATCATAGCTTTCTTGTCTATCAAGTTTAGGTGGCTGATTTTACATGGTTTCTTCCTTTATATGTAACTCCATCCAATAAACTTTAGATATCATGCAGCCAAATAAGGAACAAGAAAGAAAAGGACGGTCTTAAGAACGTTTCGTAGTATTTAGCATAATTATGCATTACTCACAGTCCTACAATGCCTCGCAAGGAGGTAGGTAGACAACACCGGTTAGGGTGAAGCATCCTATAGCTTTAGCTTGGTGTGTCAAGAAATAATGAAGAACATCCTAATGTTACAGGGGAAACCGTTGAATTGGAATAAAATACGCATAGTTTTAGCAATCGACGTATGTTGCTGAAATACGACGTGAATAAACAAACAACGTACTTTGTAGGTTCTTGAAATACTGCTGAATACGATGTAGTTACAACGCATTTATGTTGCTCTAAGATATACACAAGTTTAACATTCATCTAAGATATACACGATAAATAAGGGTAACATTCATCTAAGATATACACAATATATAAGGATAAGAGTCATCTAAGATATACACGATATATTTTACAAGGTTAAAAATCATCTAAGATATACACCTTCCACACTAACCACAGCCAGTATACCGGCAGATCGTCCTGAGGTCATTCACCCCGGTACTGCAGAATACTAGTACGTCATAGCGTGCGCTATGAATCATGGGAATCCTATCAAAACCGTCAACAACCCTTCTCACCTGCGGCGTAACAGACCTTCTCTGTCTTCAAGACGCCGTGAGAACTCACCTGTACGTCTTGTGACGTCAAAACCAAGAGGCTTCAGTTCCTGGAGCGTCCGAGAACCTTACAGAGATATTAAAGACCGGGAAAAGGTTTCCAATCTCTCACAAGACACACCTGGAAAATTTCAGGTAAACCCGGAAGTAACGGGTGCATCATACGTAGTACAAAACCTAAAGAAACTTTACCACAGCCCTTTAGCACACAGATAAACTGTCCATGTTGAATGAATTAGAAAGTAATGACGCTATGTCTGTATGGCTTTTAAAATTATCGGTCTATTCCACTATCATGAGATTGTTAATGGAGAGAATGATATATTTGTGGGTCTGTGTTTGCGCTACAGGAAGGCACTAGATCCCTCTAGTCTTAGTAACGACAACCTGTCACTGGGCAGGTGGTGTGTATCTATATCTGTAGGATCAGACCAGGCATGGACGGAAGGGAACAGGAGACAATGGAGAAAGACAAGGAGTCCGGGCCGGAGGAGTCCGGGTCTGAAGTGTCGAGTTGGAAGGACATGGATGAAGACGAGAAGGTAGAGTGAAGAAAACATTTTAAGAATAGACGTGATGTTACACACGGACGAGCCTCACTGTGCATATGGTGGTGTATATCTATAACAGGCCTTTTCCTTTAGCCTGATGTAGATTGGTCCGCCCGTAAGGTGGCCTCCTTGCGACAGGACAGCTCGGTAGTCTTTTTTTTACATTTATCTGTACATACTTTGAATGTTTTTTTTTTCAGATGTGTTTGTACCGTGTTATGTGTCTGTATACTATGGGCCGTTGAGTCTGAAATAAACAATAAACATATACATGTGAGCTATGCAGAAATACAGGAGATAAATGATATATCTTTTTATAACTTTACACTGAGAGACATGAAAGGAAGTGAAATATCAGTATGACGGATAAATGAAGGGATAGGTGTTAAATCTTGATGAGTGTTGTTCTGATTGACTGAGTGTTGACAGTTGTTTCTCCTGTTCCTGTCTGCCGCCGCTATAGGCGCTGTGGAAGGCTGCAGGGGAAGGAGACACGGACAGAGTGAAGCAGCTGTTAGCGGAGGGAGTCAACCCTAATGCTGCTGATGGCCGTCGGGTTTGTTGCCATGTCTTTCGTCATTTTGCTTACTATGGTGATAAAACATTTAAGGCTGTGCAATGAAAATCAAGAGGTGTTGGGGGCAAACCGTTTAAGAGCGACACAGATGGGAAGGTTCAGGGCGCACTGGTCGCTGCACCCGTCTTCAGCTTTCAGCTTGTCTGTAACATATCCGTATCATTTCCCAAAGCAACCAGGAATGGCTACCATGAAACTGTGTCAGCTTTACTGACAGCTGGTGCAGATGTGAACGCACAGAACATGGTGGTTGGTACACTGATTGCTGTGATACAAGAAATATCTTTGTGCCAGTTTGTAAGATTTGACATTTGCTGTTTAAAATATCACAAACACAAACACTGTTACCAACATTTCATGTGGCACTTTTGTCTGTTCTGGTGCAGATGTGCACGGAACGATAACATAGGTGGACTGACTACTTTATTTCCGAAACATTTTCATGTCTTATAAGATTTGATATTCATCTTTTACATAACGGTTTACTTGCTGAATTCCGTTAGAATTGTCAACAAAATAACTGCACATTTGTCCTACCTGTTGTCATGCTGAAGGCCATCTGATGTATTTACAGCAAGACTCTCCCCTGCACCTGGCAGCCTGGAATGGCCACCATGAAACTGTATCAGTTTTACTGACAGCTGGTGCAGATGTGAACGCACGGGGCGATGTGGTAGGTAGACTTATTGCATTGATACAAGACATATTTGTTTTATTCATTGTCTACATAGCATTTGCTGTTTAAAATATAACCAACACAAAAATTTCACCAATATACGAATTGCATATTTGTATAGCTCTGTAGCAGTTTCCGACCTGTTGTCATGCTGAAGACCATCTGATGTATTTTACAGCAAGACTCTCCCCTGCACCTGGCAGCCTGGAATGGCCACCATGAAACTGTATCAGTTTTACTGACAGCTGGTGCAGATGTGAACGCACGGGACAAGTGGGTAGGTAGACTGACTGCTGTGACGCAGAAACATTTTTATATCTCTTATGGAATTTGACATCTATCTTCAGCTGTATAGCAGTTTACTTGCTGAATTCCGTTAGAATTGTCAACAACATAACTGCACATTTGTCCGACCTGTTGTCATGCTGAAAGCCATCTGATGTATTTTACAGTACAATACAGTACAGTACATGATGTACAATTTGGGGCTATTTTTGTGCAACGCATGACACCGCAGCAAAACGCAACGAATGCGGAAGTCTCTACGCCATCGCATGGCAAAAAAAGCCAGTGGTCGATGACCTGATTAAGACACTAAATTGAGAAATATTGTGCAATAAATGTCAGAAGGATCTAAGTTGCAATGTTACGGTGATTGTCCATTATTAGAAACAAACAGTATGAATGGCAAAGGTAGGGAATGGTTTCAAGCGAGCTAGGAGTCAGTGAGTGATGTAAATATATACATTCATAAGGAGTTGCTAGCTGATCATACTTAGGATGAAAAATTGCACTGTCAATGCCCCAACAGGACTACACACCCCTCCATGACGCAGGTACACTGGGCCACCCCAAGTGTGCGGAAATACTGCTGCAGTACGGGGCTGATGCCGGTCTCAGGAACAAGGTCAGTCGATTCTTCGGCTTCTGTGGTAAATAACTGACCACCAATCCAGAAATACAATATTGGCTTTACTTTGTTTGGGAGAAAAATCAAAAGTAAGATTTTTAATAATGATGGTCCACTTAAATACATACATTACTGTCCAAGGCAAGGAGAAGCTGTTGTTGGAATAAACACACAAATCACGATGTGTTCTGATGAGCCTATAACTCTATTCAGACCGGGCCGGGGAGGGGGTTGAGCCCTGCGCCCCCTTTTATCTCTGCTAATAGCGATTGAAGGGCTGGCGCTAGAACCGTTAAATTGGTGACTCTTTCAAAAATATACTGTTTTTTTTTTACGTTAGCAGATATTTTATCATAGGTTTTTTTTTTTAAGTTTGGTTCTATTCCTCTGAGCTTAATGGAAAAAATGGACGGTTTTACCCCAGAAAACCATGTAAATGACGTCATAATGACCTCTTAATTACACAAATGTCATTTTATGAATTTATTTCATTACTTAATCATCCTCTGAAAATTCGGTGGCCATACGATAAGTGGCTGTTGAGTTACAGGGGGCGGGCCC